TTTTTGAGTTGTGGGATTGTGGGTAATATTCTAAATTGTTTCCAATGAGAATATACTGCCTCTATAATCAGAAATGAAGCTATAAATGTGCTTTATGAACTGTGAAACTACACAAATGTTACATTTTTATTTTTACTTCTGTTGACCATTTTAGCCCACAGATTTCCTATTTTAATGTAGCTTTTTTCTCCTGAGAACACTGCTTAAGTCTGTCTGTAAAAAGAGAACTGGCTGGCACAATTTGCACATCCAAGTCTGCCTATTCCCAAAAGTCTGTCATCTTACAGGGGAAATGGTTCTTTTCTGTTCAGAATGGAAAAGATTCTGTTTCTTTTTGTGTCGGTTGATTTGGTTATGTAAGGAAGGCTATCAACACAAACAAGAAGAAGCCAAGGAGTAGGCAAAAGCTTGATCAGAAAGTGCTCCAGGCCCAAGAGAAATCTGACATTTCTGACTCATCATGTCCTATGCCTCTCTTTTCTCAGAAATGTTCTGAAACCCTCTATAAAGATATGATCACTGGAGCTCCCTTGGCTTAAAATATCCCAAGACTCCTTACAACTCTTCCATAGTTAAATAAGTGCCTGTGTTAACAGACATGTATTTTCTTCAGCAGTAGGCGAAGAGAAGAAGACAACTTTCTTTCCTGAGCTATATCACATATCCTTTAGACATGGAAACCCAAAATGATCTTTTATATTCTCAGAAATACATAAAGCTATTGCTGTATTATAAATGAAAAGAATCATAATTTCATAATTCTAAATGGCTTTGATCCTTCTAATCTTGGGAGGAGTTAATATCTGTAAATCCCTTCCAAAAAAATTCTCGAATGCAAAAAATGTAACCAATTCATATTTTAAGTATTACACTGCCCCCTAGTGTATCTTGTGTTAGTGAAACAGCTCACAAAATGTGGTAACTGCAATTCTTGGAAATACTTCAAAGGAATCTCAGAGATAAGAACTAGAAACAACCTCAAAAGTCATCGAGACCAGCATGCTCACTTCCCAGAGGAGAGAACTGAATTCCTGAAGGATTATATAACTTTCCCAAGATCATACACTGCTAGTCAGTAACACAGCAAATACCAGAGGGGAACCCCCACAAAAATGGAATTTATTTATAAAGAATTGCGTATTTATCCTTACATGTTTAAACTTCAGTCACCTTTAAAGTACTCTCCATTTGATGCAATACGCCTACCAAGATGCTTTTTTCACTGCTCAAAACAGGTGTCAATTTTGAAGGTTTTTGGTGCTTCTGCTGTTTTTTGTTTCACCTCTTCCATATTGGCAAAATGTCTCCCTTTGAGGACTTTTTCATCCAGGAAACACAAAAAAGTCACTAGGGTGAGATCACGTGAATAGGGAGGGTGGGGCACGAGGGTCATGTCATTTTGGGTCAAAAACTACTGAACACTCAGCGCAGTGTGGGCAGGAACTCATAAATCACCCATCATGAAATGAGCAAACACACCGAAAGAATCTCAAAAAAAAAAAAAAATCCACCGAAGCCGAACAGTCTCTCACAACAATGCTAGCAGGTACACTGATGCCGATGGGTTCCTAAAACACTTACCTAGCGGGGGAAGCCTGCACTACAAGGAGTCCACCCTCCAAAAGAACTATGTTGGTTGGGGTCCTCTTCGTACTGTTGAATAGAACTTAAGTCTCTCATAATGCTAAATTTCTAAAATGGAGAAGAATGATGCGGTTTTGGAGTTAGGCAGATCAAGGTTTGAATTTCAGGCCACCATTTCACTCTCTCCAAGCCTTCCCTCTCCCCATTCATAAAATGAGATCATAGCTATGCAAAGTTGTTGGAAGGATTCAAGTTAACCATGTTCCTCAAGCCATTAGCATAAGTATCTGTGGTACAGTAATTGGTAATATAGTCATAAAATACATAGGAAACTTTTTTTTTTTTTAATTTTGAGTTGAGGTCTTACTCTGTCTCCCAGGCTGGAATGCAGCCGTACAGTCACAACTCACGGCAGCCTCAACCTCCCGAGCTCAAACAATCCTGCCTCAGCCTCCCGAGTGGCTGAGACTACAGGTATGTGCCACCATATCCAACTAACTTTGATTTTTTGGTAGGGACAAGGTCTTGCTATGTTGTCCAGGCTGGTCTCGAACTCCTGGGCTCAAGTGAACCTCCTGCCTCAGCCTCCCAAAGTGCTGAGATTACAGGCATGAGCCACCACACCTGGCCTGCTTTTGAATTAATATAGTCTGAAATTTTGTGATAAAGCCTTTCTGAAATAATGAAAATAATAATGAGTTTAAGGCACTTAAATCTAAACTTTTTAAAAAGTGGCACAAATTAAAAAATAAAGCTAGTTCTCCTAATGCCTATGATTCTTCAATTATCATATTTATTCTTTTTTAATACAAATAAAGCAGTAAGCCAGGCTCGGTGGCTCAGTCTGTAATCCTGCGCTTTGGGAGACTGAGGTGAGTGGATTGCCTGAGTCTGCAGGTTCGAGACCCACCTGGGCAACTTGGCGAGAC